TTCTTCGTGCAGCATCGTGAATTCGGGCTTTTGAGACTGGAACAAGCGATTTAGTCTATTAATCGGGGGCAAAATATACTCCAAATAAGCAACAGATTCTCTGAGTCAATTAAATTCATTCGTTGAGTTAGTATCAGGGCTCTACAATTTCGAAGCTCTAAAATGAACTCGTGTTTTGTTTCTCTCATACATACGTGTTCGACGCTTCATTTCTATAACGCCTAGCTAGACTATCAGCAAGAAACGAAAATAAAAAAGAAGGACGCTTAGAAGGAAAGGCTGGCTGTGGAACTTCTCGTCGTTGCTTTGCTCATCGCTTTCAATGTAACTAACGTCGATTTTCTAGTTAAACGAACTTCATTATGGCTTTCAATCCCCTTTCACGAACACTCTATCACCGCTCTTTCAATTTGTTTAAAATGCGTTATGTCCCGTTTTCGATCATTTTTTTTAGATAAATATATGGATGGAAGATAAATTAGAAATATGACGTGTAATCTTCAAGTGTTTTGACGTGAGAAATGCTTTAAATGTGTTATTTCATTTTCCGTCATATACGTCATGAAACCTCTGTTGATGTGTTTCATGAAAGAGAAAACTATCAAACTCGAGCGCTCTTTCGCTCATCCATTTCGACGAAGCTTGAAAGGAAGACCAATGGAGCGACGGGAGAAAGAGAGACAAGCGATTGAACATTTGTTTGTGCACGCCGACTGAGGTTCTAGAATGCTGCGAAGCTGTTCGACTTTAACAGAAAAAGAAAGCCAGCAGTCTCTTCGTCGCATCTATTTGGTCGATTGAAGCTGATATTGTGACGCCCTGGTTAGTATTATTGGCCGTGTTGTTTATTCATACACAGTGTGCACCAAAGGGTGCATCTCAAGTGGCTTCATAGGGCCTAGCTTTGGTTTGAAAATTTTAAATCATTGGCCCTTCTACGTCACTAGGCTTATTAATGAAATGAAATAAATGAATGGTTGGCCGTTTTAGCGTGCGGGCCTATTATGCATAGAAAAATTTCGTTGATCGGCCGTTTCGAAAATCGAGTTATTTTTAATTATTTTTCTTGATTATGCGGAACTTTCCTACAGAAGGTAGCTATCAAGCGGTGCTAAAGAATGGTATCAAAACCCGATTTGTTTACGTTTTGGACATAGGCCCATTTCAAATGTTACTCTAGATATTATTAATAATATTAAGCACCGCTTTCGTCCCACAGCTGTCTACAGCAGCAGTCGATTTTTTATTTCGGTGTGAACCACGAGATAGCCTGTTTTCGAGACTCGCTATTATATAGTTGCTCTTTGTTCATTGCTAGCAGTTCGGTGCCTTTTCTTGCTACGGTGCAAGATGTGTGAAGTAAAAAACACCATCAAGTTTAGCTTCAGCCACCATGATGCTAAACCAAACATCGGAGAGATTGTAAATTTCGCCAAAGCACTCGACGCGGATCGGGGTGAAATGGAAGCTGTTTATCGCATTGGTGAGGAAAGGGGAGTATTCATCAAGTTCAAATCAGAGGAAGCGATGCTCCATGCTCTGACGTTCAATTCGGAGGATTTAATCTTCCATTATGCGAATGGAACGACGGCAAAGGTACGCATGTCGCATGCTGGTGAATACATTCAATATGTGCGTGTGTATGACTTGCCACCAGAGGTACCTGACAACGAGCTGGATAAAGTTCTGGGGAAATATGGAAAAATTAAACGCATCATCCGGGAGAAATTTCCATCTGATCTGTGTTTTGAGGTATATACAGGGATACGCGGTATATATATGGATGTGAAGAAGGAAATCCCCACGTCATTACATTTCTTCAATCGCAAAGGAAATATATTTTATGATGGCAACAAAGATAAATGTTTTCTGTGCAAGGCGGACGGACACCGGAAGCTTTCCTGTCCCATGCGGAAGGCTGGGAAGGAAGCGGAGAAGCAACCTAAGGAAAAAGGAAAGCAGCAAAGTGAAAGAAAACAAAACAGCAGCAGTACGTATGCTGGTGTAGTGGTGGAAGGTGCGTCGCTAGTCATTAGCGACCAGGAAACGGACACGAGGTTGGAGATGCTGAATGAAAATAACGAAATGGACGTGACGACCCCGACGACCGACGAGAGTAGCGGAGAGCATGCAACGGGAAACGACGTTCAGAAGCAGCAGCAGCGATCACGATTCGGGTTCAATGAAAATGAGGAACAAATTCGGGAAAGAAAGAAGTTACGTGCACGGGAGAAGATCGCTTTGTCGCCGCTTCGATCGCCACCCAGAAAAATACTATGATAAAATGCATTTTTATATATATTTTTTTGGTATTTTGAGTACCAAAGTTGGTATTCTATGTACTCGGCTCCGCTAAGTTATTTTTATAACATTTGAGCCTTCCAAATAAACGAAATGAAAAAAAAAAAAAAAAGCACCGCTTGAAAAAATCCGAGGTTCAATATTATAATTTCAACCATCTAAAAAATCTGTACTTTGTCACAATAATCTGTGTTTCTAAATGATCCCCAACAAATCCATCACAGTCACACGATTGGAATTTAATTCTCTTGCAAATCATTCGTGATCCCATGCATTCAACCAGGCAAATCTAAACACAACGTATCAACAAGTTTGTGTATGTAGCTACACTGATGCGTAACAGCACAGAGAGCAGAATCCACTTGGTTCGGGGTGTGAGTTTTTCCCGCTGTGTATGATACATTTTCCACATTTTCCTCTACAAGGGCATTTCGGAATGACTTTGTTAAGAAAAGCGCTGATAAAACGCGCAGCAGGGGACATTTTCTACAATCGTTCGGACACTGCCTCGACCCAGATCTCCCTAGTGTAAATCGAATTCATTAGCGAATTTCTATAGGAATCATCTTTCCACAAGGTGTGGTTCCGAAAAGTGGTGCGAGGTGCTAATTATTCCCTGCTTTATGATTCCTTTTACGATCGGTTATGTGAATGTAGGTATACAGGCATACTACTCACCAACGCAATCCAAAACAGAACGTAGACAATAAGCCAGAAGATATCGGTACACCCGCGTACGGCCGTCGGCTGATGCTGGTCGGAAGGTTTACTCTCAAAGCAACCCATCCCTGATTGGCACTTTCACTTCCAAACTCTCGTGCCTTTTTTGATTAGTTTAAATTCACTTAACGGCACGAAAAAACACTAGAACTTCCTCAATTTTCAAAAATGAATGCCATCGAGATGACGCGATCGCTTCCGCTGGCGGTGGTGATGATGGCGTTGCCTTTGCTTTTCAACTTCTTTTCGCTTCTCGATACTGTCGTCGTCGTCGTCGGTTGATTGAGATTGAGGAGTGGAGTGCTTTCTGCTTGTGTGATGTTTATTGTTTTGATGGCGTCGGCTTTTCTGGCTCTCCCTCGATTTGATTCTCTCTCACTCAGCCGAGTGTTTTCAAAAGGGTCTATACTGAAACCATTTTTACCATTTTTACGAGCTTGTTGGGAGATGTGAGCCGAGCCTTTACTGATTTTCTTTCAGAAAAATGTAAACATGTCAAATCCCAGCGAAATCAGCCAAACCGCGTGTTGTCGTTCCAGGCGCTTAGCTCGTGCAGCGGATAATTTTCACCGATTTTCTTGATTTTTGTAGTGTAATTTGCCTTTCCCCAACGAAATCCTTTCACAATTAAGATGAAGCCGAAAGCTGAAAACAAAAAGACCAACAATAGGGTTCGAAAACCAAAGGTTAAGGCTACCAAGAAGCGCAAACTAGTGGATCTGGATGCTTCGTCGGAAGATGAAGGAATCCTATTGAAAGATACCAGGTCTTCGGATGAACTGGTTCCCAAGAAGGTTAGTAGTCGATTAGCATAGAACTTTGGTTGAAATTTGAATAATATTATTTTCTAATTTCCAGACAAAATGGGTGAACAAACAACGCGTTCTAGTCCTGTGCGCCCGAGGAATCAACCATCGCGATCGGCACCTGATGAAGGATTTGAAAACGCTGATGCCGCATCATCGGTCCGAACCGAAGATGGAACGCTGGAAGACGCTGTCGGTGGTGAACGAGATGAGCGAAATGAAGCACTGCAATAAGGTGATGCTGTTCGAAGGTCGACGCAAGCGAGATCTGTACATGTGGTTGGCCAATGTAGAAAAGGGACCGTCGGTTAAGTTCCTGGTCGAGAACATTAACACGATGGGCGAGATGAAACTGACTGGAAATTGCCTGCGCGGATCGCGCCCCATTCTGTCGTTTGATCAAGAGTTTACCAAGCAGCCACATCTAGCCGTTATCAAGGAACTGCTGACGCAGGTTTTCGGGGTCCCGAATCACCATCCGAAGAGTCAACCGTTCGTGGACCGTGTGGTCAGCTTCACATATCTGGATAATCGCATTTGGTACAGGCATTTCCAGATTCTGTCGGAAGATGGTGGTCTGTCCGAAGTGGGACCAAGATTCGTTATGAATCCCATTAAAATCTTCGATGGGTCTTTCAGCGGGGATCCGATTTGGGAAAATGCAAACTATCAGAGCCCAGCCAAACACCGACAGTTGATCCGGAAGGCCGCCAAGGATAAGTATCTGAACAAGCAGAAGCAGAAAGTGGATCATGAAATGAATGCTCCAACAAAGACCCACGATTTCGACAAATTTGCCGATGTATTCCAAGGTGACGAAGAGGAAAAAGCCAAGGAACTACTGGAGAAGGAAGAGCAAGAAGCAGCGGAGGAAGAAGAACGCAAGGCCATTGAGGAACAACACAGGCGAATGAAGAAGAAGGACGAGATAAAAAAGCTGAAGAAGATGGCTCAGGTGAAGAAAGCTGGCAAAGCAGCCGCAAACGGAAAGAAGAAGCAAAAGGCAGCTCTGAAAACCAAGAAGAAGGGCAAGAATAAGCAGGACACAGGCGATAGCGAGTGAAGTAAATTTTTTTTCGTTTCTGCAATTTTCGATGTAAAATAATAACGCATTTTATTCGGAAACCCCAATGTTTTAAACAGAACGCAAAAGAAATCCATTTATTTCCAGTGTCTACCTTGCTACAGCGAAAGGTAGTAAATTTATTGAAAATCATGCACGTTGTCCTCTTGGCTGAATAATGCATTTCAATATATTTATCTATGCCAATACTTTTCGCTGCAATGGGTGGTCTATCCATAATAGTTACGATTCTATGTAAAGATAAATTTAAGTGAAAACACTTAGACGTTCAGCTTTTGTCGGTAGTTAGTTGTTTCTCTACTTGTTAGGACGTTTACACCGATAGTTCCCGAGGAAACACGGCGAAATGTACATGAGGTTGCATAATTATAAACACGAACGATTTCCGTTAGTAGTTGATTTTAAACACGCTTCTTATCAGATTGTTAGCCTTACTGCTGCTGTGTAGAAATAGTTGAGTTACCACATATAATACTACGCCCCCTCTTATGAACTTCCTATTTTTTCTTGCCCCCGAACCCGGCGAATCCCATCACGGCGGCTAGCTCCGAAGTGCCCACTACGCTGTCGTCCACTTCCTCAATCTTCCGTTTGCGTTCTTTCCTCTTCTCGCGTTTGTACTCCCGGTAGCGTTCCTCCTCCTCTTTGGCTTCCTTCACCCGGCTCTCCAGCTCGTAGTCCTTTTTCTTCTCCTCAGTTTTCTTTTTGTTAATCTTGAACCGTTCCTTAACCTGGTCCAACGAACTCCTTTCGACCTTCATCGACATGCCCAAATTACGCTGGTGTTTCTTGCCGTTGATGTGGTCCAAAAAGTTGATCGAATCCTTCACGACGCAGTCACACACATTGCAATAGTACCCGCCGGATTGGGACGAAGGGGTACTTTTGTTAATGACCATACTTTTGCCCAGCTTCGAGTCCAAGTCGACCTTGTACTCGCGCTGCTTGAGCAGCTCTTTTGTGATGGGTTCGGAGTCTGAAAATTACCCTTGAAACATCAAATTTCTCCCACAAAATATTCCATAGTACATACCATCTTCGGAGGTGGCAGCTGTTTTTCCAAGCAGTCGCTCCTGAGCCAATCGCTCGTATTCCTTACGGTCCCATTTACGACGGTGATCATCCGGGCGCGTCGACATCTTTGAATATATTTCTGCTGCTGTTGATTGAATTAGACACGATGGTCTGGTAGTTAACTTTCCTTGAATATGCGTTGCTCGTGCTTGTACGTATATTCCGGTGGTATCGATAGAGGTTACAAACCGTACAAATAGGACGAAGAATAACTTAAGTTTACTCCCAAAATGTAGAATATGAAATAAGTTTGACAAAATTCTGTTTTGTTTATCAGAAAATCGTTTACTTTTGCCTTTTTGTCTTCGTTTATCGAGTGTTGGTTGACAGTTCAAAAGATGTGAGCCGATATGACCATACAAGGGTTCGTAGCAGGGGTGGGGTGACAACCGAGGTGATAACAGATACGAGACCAAGGTTTATACAAATCAACAGATCCAGAACGGAAATAAAAAAACAACCCGGTAAAGCCTGGTACCAAATGATGTTTTGGATGCATTTTAACAACATAAAAATTGATAATTCAGTGCCAACATTTCAAAGGGGCGTAATTGCATTTGTAAACAATGGCTTTCGTCTTCGATTTCTCGCGAATGAAAGCTCACTTATGAAAATGAATGACACCAGCAGGTACACAGCAAAAAAAGTTGTTGAATATTACATCGAAACTGCTGCAACCAGGTCAATCCATCGGTTGTGTAAAATCACATTGTACGATGTACATCGATTTTGCGAACAAAATTACATCCATTGATGTAATATTGTATCTGCGTTTTGCTATTACATCATTATTTTATGCATCAGCTTGAATTACGTTGATCGATATTACATTTTTTTTTGCTGTGTAGAGGAATGTTTCCTGTCCCAGCTAGCATTGGTAATTTGGAGGGATGAGCTTTTATTTGCGAGAAATCGACGGATAAAGCCATTGTTTACAAAAGCAATTACGCCCCTTTGAAATGTTGGCACTGAATTGTTGATTTTAAAATTAGACGACACCTACCTATGATCTCAAAATTTAGCAAAAGACACCTCCCTGTAGCTGTCAAATTTACTTTTGGGAATATTCCTCAAAAATTACTTTTCCGTTTTCTTTTCAGCTGCGTACCAGGCTTAAGTTGGTAAGTTGGAAATATTTTAAATAAGTTCGATTACATTAGCAATAATCACCATCACCAGGCGCCCCTCAGTGGAACTTTTTATGGGTAAATTAGTGTCAAACAATGAAGTTATTATTTTGCTTTAAATTTTCATTTAGAAATCGAGATGAAAGTCTATGGATTAGAAACAAATACCTTTGTGCTTATAAAACAAAGCTCTTTCAGATTATGTCTAAAAACTACACATACTATACAATCCATAGGTAAACGAAGGTGAAATAGAATGTAACCAATCAAACTGAAAAGGCCCACGCACATTAGATCCAGATCGGACGCGTTGCTGTAAACTGACAGCTAAATCTATTGTCTAACTGTCAAATTAACGTCAACGCAACGCAAACGGATCTAATGTGGGTGGCTCTTAAGTTAGTGTTGCCAAACTAACATGACGTTATTATGGTGTTGTTTTTGCAGAGTAAAAGCTGGCGCACAATGCATAAGTTTCCGGGTTAACTGTCAAAAAACCTGAAAACATCCATTGTGCGCCGGCCTTAAGTATTGTTATATCAACAATCAATACGAAACTAACGATTTTAAATTGGCTCACTACTTGACTAGCCTATTGGTCCCAAGCAAATCGACTAACGTACCCCATTCTAGTATAAATTCCAGTACTACACTAAGTTTGTTTTGATTCGCTATGAAAGTTTGACAGATAAAATGAGGGGTTCGTGGATTTTCCTATGTTTCGAGGGGTGAATCGATTAGCTTGGGACCGAAGATAGTACCAGAACTGATTCAAAAAGTTGAGCACGTTTCTTCGGGACCTACTAGTCTTAGAGTTACCTCTATGGTTATATTACGAGCAAATTACTATTTATTTTCATTTCATTATAATTTTCCCTTGTGTAAAAATAAATAACATTTACTTTTAATTCATTGAGGACACAGTTTTAATTACCTATCTCCAAATAGCCATTGAATACCACTCTATTACGCAAACCACTCCTCGATTCATTGTTGCTTTGCTCTTCATGTTGAACTTTTGTGTACGAAACAATGCAAAACAAAACTGCACATCGAACAACTCTTTGACTCTATAGTATCTACACACAAAAATCTCGTTAATTAAATTGAAAAAACCATTGGTATAATTAAAAGTTTGCGTTGGTTCTTTTTGGTAGAAAGTGTTTAGCATTCAAAACAAAAGTCAGCCAACTGTCAATTCAAAAGTAACTCGTTTTTTACTTTTAAAAGTAGAAACCTTCAAATCAAATTGTAGAACTGTCAATATAAAAACCCATGTTTTTTAAATAGACTCACGAAAGGATTTAATTTAAAAGATGGGCATTTTTATCGCAACGATGTATGTTTTCATCTCAAATATGAATTATTTTTAATTCGACTGCTATATGCTTTGAAAAAAAAAATTAACAATAGAAATATTTTATTTAATATATTTTCGCTTATTTATATTTTTGATGATGACTGAAAGGGCACTGCATTGTGGAATCATGGGAAGCATTTTACGCAAATGATACAGTTGGTGGTGGTGGGAGTAACCTTCCTTTGCGGCAAGACTGCTCAAAACACATAAATTAGTAAAATCGGAAACAAGATCGAAAGTATTCGAAAATTTCATCAACCTACCTCCAAATCCCGTAACTGGAATATATTTCCGATCCTTCCACTCGATAGCGTCAGAAGAGAAACAAGCGCGCCGGTGGATGAAAATGTGGGAAACTTGAAGAAACTGCTGCTGCTCATGTTAGCCAATTTGGCGGGAAACAGTGGTCTAGTAGTGTCAAAAACTTTGCAATGAAGAGGTTTTTGACAGTTTTTCGACTTTTATTCTAAAAAATACACTTTTAAAATTACAAGCCGAAAGTGAAAGAAACACTTTTAAACCAAAAAAATATGTTTTATTTTGAACATGTTCATAGTTAGAACTTTGAAATTTGGGAAACTTTTAATTTGATCATGCATTATTGTTATAGCAACAATTTTTGTTCTTTGTGTGTATAATCAAAATCGGTATGTTTTCTTAAAAACAAACAACCCAATAGAATAAAGACATCTAAAATTAAATCCTGCATTCAATACCGTTAATTGCGTTAATTAATACTGATTACCAAAACGGAAACAAACGGATAAAGTGTTACTGCTAATCCAGCATACGTGGCGAACAAAAATATTGCTGGACAACCAGCAAAGTGCTAGTGAAAACATTTGCTGCAGCTTCAGAAAAAAATAACAAATTTTCGGAATACTCACTAAAAAGTTCTTTAATGGTATTGGCGTCTTGCAGTGAAACTTTTTCAAGCTTTCGCCACCTACATTTCGAAGTGAGAACTACTAGAAGGAGGATAGATTCCATATTTTCCAAGTAAAACACGAGGGGGGCGACTCTATCTAAGATGCAGGACAATTTTTGCTTTGCTTTTGTGATATGCGCGCACGCTTAATAGATAGAGAGAAGATTGATGACAATTTTGAAGATTTCCTGCCAAAAGGTGCAAAGCGATATGAGTAGATGGATTTAGATGAAAGAGATGAAAAAATATTTTTCGTAGATTGATTCGCTAGCGTGAGATATTTTGACCATCTGCAATTGAGATTTGGATGTGTCGTACCCCTCGGTAAAACAGACGCTTTTTGGGGCAAAACGATTCATAAAGAAAAACTAATAATTTCCCGTGGAAACTTTGGCCTGAATCGTGTAAGAAAACGTGTTTGAAAACTTTTTGTTATTATTTCGGTACGGATCGGAGATGTTTTCATGGCAAATTATGCATAACAAGTTTGCACCCACAGGGAGAGGTTACCTCCTGCGCAGCTGCATTTTTCAGAAAATAGTGAATATGTGCGATTTTCACTAAGATGAAAGTGGAAATTAAGTGAATTTACTTAGGAAAGCTTGTATCATGCTGGTGGTAATAGAGAAATGGTTGTATAGGACGCCAATATTCAATAAATGTTCATTTTGGCCTGTTTTAAGCAAACATCTTGATACTCACAATTTTCGACGGAAAATGCTCCGGAACTTGATTTACTCAACATGCACCATACTATAAAATGGTGCTAGATGGTTTTCAAAGTGATAACAAGATGACAAATCATCTTTATTTTGAGTAATTGAGCAATTTACTACTGTTTACATCATATTTAGGATGCAGCATTGATGGAGCCGTGAAATGAAATGAATATATCTTATGAAAGTTCACCTGGAAAAGTCAAAGATGCACATCAGTCTGATCGTAAAAACGTTTTCTCCTTAAATTCGAATGTTATTTTGGAAGAATTTTACGCAGGCTTGATGAAAATTATGATTTAATGCTAATTTTCACGAGCTTCATATGCAGCCTGTCAACATTATCATCATCATGCAGTGGCGACATCTGCGTTGAGCTTTTGCGGCAATCTTCCAATTGAGGTAAATGCATATTTAAAATCAAAAATTTCATCAATTTTGGTGCACTGAAGCAGTACTCTCAACAATCAATACGAAACTAACGATTTTAAATTGGCTCACTACTTTACTAGCCTATTGGTCCCATGAAAATCGATTAACGTACCCCATTCTAGTCGAAATTCTAGTAATACACTATGTTTGTTTTGATTCGCTTTGAAAGTTTGACAGATAAAATGAGTGGTTCGTGAATTTTCCTATGTTTCGAGGGGTGCATCGATTAGCTTGGGACCGAAGATAGTACCAGAGCTGAGCCAAAAAGTTGAGCTCGTTTCTTCGGGACTTTCTGGTCTTAGAGTTACCTCTATGGTACTACCCAAGTAACAATTTCCAGTTGAAGAAACGCTTTCGTTTTGATTTTGTTCAGCTGCATGTTGAATAATAATTGCACAATGTGTTCACTACAACTTTTATAAAACCCTTGTTTACACTGGTTTGGAGAACCTATACAACTGCAACACAAAGGTGTTGTCTAACGTATTCAGTAAAACGTTTATCCAAAATCAATTTCTTGTTGAAGAAACGCTTCCATTGTGATTTTATTCAACTGCATGCTGAATAATAACTGTACAATTTGTTTATTACAACTTCTGTAAAACTCTTGTTTACACTGGTTTGGAGAACCTGTTCAACTACAGCATTATATGTATACGCGGTATAGGAGTAGAAGCAACTTTTATACAACGTTTATAGATACATATTTAAACTCAAGCTTTATTATTTTGGTGAAAGCTCTTATACAACGTTTGTAGACACTTCTTGACAGCTGCTTTGAAATTTAATAGATAGTAAACCTGAGAGGCGTTTGTTGCACTCTTTTATGACTCCTAAATAATCATTGTACAGCAAGCGGTGAAAAGCTTTTATAGCACTTTTCAATGACTCCTTAACAACCGGATAGAAGCAACTTTTATACAACGTTTATAGATACATATTCAAACTCAAGCTTTATTATTTTGGTGAAAGCTCTTATACAACGTTTGTAGACACCTCCTAACAGCTGCTTCGAAATGTATTAGAGATTGAACCTGAGAGGCGTTTGTTACACTCTTTTATGACTCCTAAATAATCACTATACAGCTAGCGGTGAAAAGCGTTTATAGCACTTTTTAATGACTCCTTAATAACCGTTGTGTAAGTACTCACAATATTCACAGATTAAAATTAGTTTAACAATTGTCGTGGTACGCCAAAATAATTCCTTGTACAGTTTTTATTAATTTAATTTATTTGTTGTGCACATTGAAAAAATATGTAATTATGCCATAATTCACATCCTGTGATCATGGAGGAAGTAGTAACAAGCATCTGTTTAATGTTTGATTGATATTCTTTCAATTAATCTCTCTAATCATTAATTGAGAGAATTTATCTAGAAATGTTATCGTTGATTATATGATATATGTCTTAAATTAATGCATTTATTAATAACACCTATATATAATTTACCTCTACTCCACCGAGGGTTTCTCGAAGCAAGATTCGAACTCATAATCCCGGATTGCCAGCCGCTTCTGTTTCCATCTGCTCTATTCTTGAATACATATTTTGATCATATGAGAGAAGTATATCAAGCTCATCTTGAGTGACTTCTCTTGCAGTCGAATAATCATTGCCTTATGGTTATGTAAACATGCCTATCACTTGTGCTATTTTTAGCAACAAAATTGTGGTTGGTCGAACGTAAACAATCATTTAAGAGTACTCCAAGCAGCTTTTGAAGCTTTTAACCAAATGGCAATACAACTACATTCTTGTTCAACTCTGGAAGCTATTATTCAACGTTTGATCAACTCAAGTGTTTTATAAGAGCTCCCAATGGTTTGTTTTGATGCGTTTATTCCACATCCTATATGGCTCCTGTCAAACAGTTTAACAATCATTTAAGAGTGCTCCAAGCAGCTTTTGAAGCTTCTAACCAAAAAGGCAATACAACTACATTCTTGTTCAACTCTGAAAGCTATTATTCAACGTTTGATCAACTCAGGTGTTTTATAAGAGCTCCCAATTGTTTGTTTTGATGCGTTTATTCCACATCCTGTATGGCTCCTGTCAAACAGTTTAACCGAACGTAAACAATCATTTAAGAGTGCTCCAAGCAGCTTTTGAAGCGTTTAACCAAAAAGGCAATACAACTACATTCTTGTACAACTCTGGAAGCTATTATTCAACGTTTGATCAACTCAGGTGTTTTATAAAAGCTCCCAATGGTTTGTTTTGATGCGTTTATTCCACATCCTGTATGGCTCCTGTCAAACAGTTTAACCGAACGTAAACAATCATTTAAGAGTGCTCCAAGCAGCTTTTGAAGCGTTTATCCAAAAAGGCAATACAACTACATTCTTGTACAACTCTGGAAGCTATTATTCAACGTTTGATCAACTCAGGTGTTTTATAAAAGCTCCCAATGGTTTGTTTTGATGCGTTTATTCCACATCCTGTATGGCTCCTGTCAAACAGTTTAACCGAACGTAAACAATCATTTAAGAGTGCTCCAAGCAGCTTTTGAAGCGTTTAACCAAAAAGGCAATACAACTACATTCTTGTACAACTCTGGAAGCTATTATTCAACGTTTGATCAACTCAGGTGTTTTATAAAAGCTCCCAATGGTTTGTTTTGATGCGTTTATTCCACATCCTGTATGGCTCCTGTCAAACAGTTTAACCGAACGTAAACAATCATTTAAGAGTGCTGCAAGCAGCTTTTGAAGCGTTTAACCAAAAAGGCAATACAACTACATTCTTGTACAACTCTGGAAGCTATTATTCAACGTTTGATCAACTCAGGTGTTTTATAAAAGCTCCCAATGGTTTGTTTTGATGCGTTTATTCCACATCTTGTATGGCTCCTGTCAAACAGTTTAACCGAACGTAAACAATCATTTAAGAGTGCTCCAAGCAGCTTTTGAAGCGTTTATCCAAAAAGGCAATACAACTACATTCTTGTTCAACTCTGGAAGCTATTATTCAACGTTTGATCAACTCAGGTATTTTATAAGAGCTCCCAATGGTTTGTTTTGATGCGTTTATTCCACATCCTGTATGGCTCCTGTCAAACAGTTTAACCGAACGTAAACAATCATTTAAGAGTGCTCCAAGCAGCTTTTGAAGCGTTTAACCAAAAAGGCAATACAACTACATTCTTGTACAACTCTGGAAGCTATTATTAAACGTTTGATCAACTCAGGTGTTTTATAAGAGCTCCCAATTGTTTGTTTTGATGCGTTTATTCCACGTTCTGTATAGCTCTTGTGAATCAGTTTAACTAAGGTGCTATAAAAGTTATCGTAGGTCTTATAAAGCATATAGTTAAACCAAACGTAAACAATGATTTAAGAGTGCTCCAACAGCTTTTAAAACGTTTAATCAAATGGCAATACAACTACATTCTTGTTCAACTCTGGAAGCTATTATTCAACGTTTGATCAACTCAGGTGTTTTATAAGAGCTCTCAATTGTTTGTTGGGTATTACATTTTCATAAATCACCATCTTATTCTTCTTACTGAAAATCCTACGTATGAGGGCTCATTGCAAGACAGCCTATTTTACATAGTCAATACAAAACTAACGATTTTAAATTGACCACTTTGTCAAGCAGTTTTGGCGTGACTTTCTACCAGCGATTCCACAAAACTGGACCAACTAATATCTATTTTTTTATAAAACGCACAAATGTTGGCTACTTTTCTCGAGGTTCTAGAAGAAAAAATCTCAAAATAATGTTTTATTTCAAAGTTCGAGTGGTAGTAAACGTCATTTTAACTGCTCGAATGAATTGGTTAATTGGCTCACTACTTGACTAGCCTATTGGTCCCAAGCAAACGGTTAAAGCAACAATCAATACGAAACTAACGATTTTAAATTGGCTCACCACTTTAGTAGCCTATTGGTCCCAAGCAAACGATTAACGTACCCTATTCTAGTTGAAATTCTATTACTACTCTATGTTTGTTTTGATTCGCTATGAAAGTTTGACAGATAACATCAGGGGTGTGTGGATTCATGCAGAACATGCAGGGGTGAGTGAAATAGCTTGGGACTGCTTGGGACCGTTGTTCTGGTACTGAGTGAGCCAAAAATTATAATGATTTTCTTCGGGACCCAGTGGTCTTAGAGTTACCTCTATGGTTAAAGTAGCCCATTCTAGTCGAAATTCTACTACTACACAATGTTTTGATTCGCTATAAAAGTTTGACAGATAAAATGAGGGGTTAGTGGATTTTCCCATGTTTCGAGGGGTGAATCGATTAGCTTGGGACCGAAGAGAGTACCAGAGCTGAGCCAAAAAGTTGAGCACGTTATTTCAGGACCTTCTTGTCTTAGAGTTACCTCTATGTATTAGCGCACCTCGGAGGTGCTTTAGTACACACAAAGAACACAAATTTTTGCTACAAAAATAAATAATGCATTAATTAAATTAAAAATTTCCAAAATTTCGTATTTTTAACAATGAAAAATTTAAAAATTAAAATTATTTGTTTGTTTTAAAAGTGTTTCCAAAACTTTCGACTTTTAATTTTAAAAGTACGTTTAAAAAAAATAAAGATGCAGAACTGTCAAAATTACCTCGTCATCAGGCAGTGTTTCACAGATCACCTCCGTTTTCCGCTAAATTTGACACGCGCAATAAAAAAACAACGACTGCAGCAGCAATTTGATCTAGCAGTCCTAATAAAAATATTATGGTTAATTTGCTTAAAGACGTGTTTGGGGTATCATCCAAACAATTTGTGTAATAGTTCAATCGTTCGTTATGGTATTTTTTTATTAGGGAGGAGCAGCAGCAGCAGTGTATTACACTTTCCCACATTTTTCAGCCACCGGCGCGCTAGTTTTTCTTCTCAGTGACGCGTAGTGACGTTATAGAAGGAAAGGAATTAGTGGTAAGTTAATGAAATTTTCAAAGACTTTCGATCATGCTTCCGATTTTACTTAGTGGTTCTTAAAGAAAAATTATTTTTATCATCAAGTCTAAAAAACAATAAACCAACTATCCAGTAGTTTCATCTACCAGTGGAAATAATGGTTATTTTCCGGGATAAACCATTTGCGAGAAATTGGCGATTTATGTTATTGCCTACAAAGGTAGTTTCGCCCTAATGAAATGTTAGCATCGAATTAAAGATTTATTTTACTGTGAATCTTCCCATCTTTTGTATACATCGGATTTCCAAATACAGAACCCTGCATCGAGCACTCCATACTTTTTGACAGCGCGTTTGACGTTGACACTTTTGTCTCCTTTGTTTGGCTTCTCTGATGCACTTTTGCTCCACTTTTCAACTAGAAGATCCCTAAAAACCTACGTCCGCTTGTTCCGTTCTCCGTGTATGATTCATACATTGCTATTCTTTGCTTGCTAGTACTTACTGCTAGTGCGACTCCATTTCACTGCCCGTGATTGTGTTACCGTTTTGTCGGTTCTGGTGTTGACGGCGGTCGTGTCGTGGATTATAGGTCTGAGTACTCTCATTCTCTGTTACGCCAAGGTAGGAGGTAGAAATCGTATATAGATTCGACGCCACATACACAGAGGGCGAGAGAGGCAGGAGAACGAAGGATAAAGTGGCAGAAGAGATCTTTTTTTAATATGGTGGTGCAGTTTTGTACAGTCATTTTCATTGTCCGTCAATAGTGCGCTGGAAAAGTGATACGGAGATTACGGAATCGCATGAAAATCGGTGGAATACTACGACCGAACATAGATCTGATCGTGTACCATTTTCAGTGGATCCACGGAATCCTTGAATCAAGGAAAATTGTGTAGTAGCTGAAGGCTTGATTTTCGCTTCAATCTGCGACAGCAAATATCACAGTGAAGAATACAGTCTGTCTATCGAAAAGTGGTGCAGGTATAGGGGAAAAAAAAGATCGCAAAGCACTTTTTCCTGATTACTACGGTTCCGGATAAGCAGATCGGTAGGGAAACCACTGGATAGGTTTTCTCCCTAGACGCACCGCTATGGACGGAGAATCGGAAAAGCAACCGCTCCTGAAGCAGTCCTCCCAGTCGGGTCAGCCGGATTCCGGATTGGAACAGCGTAAGTGATTTGCCTCCTAGCTTGTATGTATCTATCGCATAGGGAACTTTCACATCGAATATCAAAAGTTCTGTGGGACTTTTTTAGGTTTCCCTATCGGGTTCCACCCTCTCGTCCCTTGTAGCATAAAGCAGAAAGAAAAAATATTCTGCCTTCATATAGCTATTGTTGTGGATAGGTGATGGTCAAATCCAAGCGGCATTATTTGGTTCAAAACAGAAGAAAATCAGAAGTGTTCAGGCCGTGAGTCAAGTTGTTCTTACTGGTAGCCTTCGCTTTCGTTGTTTTTTTCATTTTGCCCATGCCCTGCATACAATCAAGTTTTTTTTTTCGCTATTCCATAATACCTATAAAAAGTGTCTCTCAATGTAGAAACGCGGATCTATAGCTTATACCATTGCCCTCTATTGACTATCACTTTATTCTTGCTGTTAATAGACAACAATTTTGTGACGATTTTTTAATTATTTTCGTTTCGGCATAATATGTAAACAATATCATCCCCCCTTATGCAAACAATCATGAACAAGATAATCCGTGCGTCAATAAAGAATTCTTTTGCCTTGTCGTAAGACCTGACTGCCTGGCCTGGCAAGTCGCTCTTATCTCTGGTTGACCAATTATCGCTAACTAGTGGAGTGGTTGAGATTTGCTTCCACGTATGTTTTAGACCACATGCATGTATTATTATTCACTGCTGGCCGCTCGCTGCGTTCGTTTGCATGTGTGCGGTGATGTAGTTAGGAATCGTAGGGGTGTCATCTATTCGATGCGACAAATCAGCATATTTTCATCTCGTATGTATCCGTTATGAAATAACGGAATGGATAGTACCTATGAAACATATAAAATATGACAGGCCTCGGAGGGGTGGGCATGCAGCACTAAGTATTTGACTGTTTGCAATTGAGAAAAACATGTTGACGCTGTGAAAGCGATTGGATCAGAGCCGAGTCCTGTGGAACAGAATCTTCCAGTCACCGTAGATACAACGAACTACTGTACTGTCGGTGGAAGCATAATTGTCCCATGTGTGTATGAAATTCCATAGCACATGGGACAATTATGCGTCCATCGACAGTGTAACCTATGAGCAAACTGGAAATAGAACTCACAGCTCATCGTCCAAACCGCAAATCCCCTCGTTACAATAATGTCGATTTGCTTTGTCGCGCACTCTCACGCATCGGATTCGAAACGTTGCTTCATTTTTTTGTAACTGCGAGTTGTAAGTATGGTATGTACGAGGCTTGTTTATGTATTTTGTAATCATAACGATTATGTAGTCAGTCAATACGCCGGCAGTGGTCACTCGGCATTGCATTTGATTCTAAATGGACCCATATTGTAGCTGACTCGATGTGTCATCACAACCGCCATATGTAATTAGCTGGTTGTTTAGCATTTATAGAATAATTTCCTTATTTTGCTTCGCCTGCTGGTAGGGCATACACATTTTGAAATATGAGCGATAGTGATTGTTGGTACAATCAATTACGGTGGTTCGGAGCCACGGTCAGTGTTGGAATCATCGATGGAGACGCTTCATCGCTTCATATATACATTAGGGTGGGACAACTTAACAGCCTCCTTCTCTCCGCAGCTCTTTCGGTTCGTATTGAGGTCCCCAAAAACTGTGCCAAATTTGAACGAATTTGGGTACGATCTGGATTTGCGGGTGAACTTTATAATTGGGAAACGTTCCGAAACTGTTCAATTATTTAAATTTATTAAAAATTCAAAAATCGCTCAACTTTTACCAAACCAGGGACTCACATTGAGAAAACTATACAGAACAATTTTGTTGAAGGCCGCAAATCGATTCGACTTCTGTGCAAAAAGTTATAATTTTTTTTATTTATGGCCATTATACCTACTTCTCAATCATTTATCAATCTAAGTCCCAGGTTTGGTGAAAATTGAGCAAATTATGTAATTTTGTCAAGCAAATGAATAGTTTTATATCGTTTCCAATGCACATTTTAAAGCTCTCCCGCAAATCCAGATCGTAACCGAATTAATTAAAATTTGAATACGAATCGATAGAGCTGTGGAGAGCCTAGCAGCATGCTTGTCACTGAACAATTGTGGTTACTTGTGTGGAACTTATTCCAGTCGCAATCAAGTTGCAGCAATTTATTGTGGTGGATGTGTGCTGCTTGGGCCACCCTAATATACATATAATGACCACAGGCAAACAGACATAACACATTGAATATTTCTTATTGTAAAACATCGTCGCTAAAACATTACCGCCATCTGTTGAGTACACTGTGGTGGGTAGTATGCTGAACAGATGGCGGTAGTGTGTAAACGTCAAACGGAATTGACTATGCGCGCCACAGGTGGCAGTACTACCAACTGAGATACTTTTAAATTGACCGTTAAATGCTTGTTCGATGAACAACTTGTGAGTGTTATGTCTGTTTGTCTGTGTAATGACGATCGATGTGATTGGAATTAGGAAGCAAAACTTTCGCCATATATAGTTGAGTTCGTGATAAGGAGTGGCTTATTGAAACTAGATTGAAAATGTCTCCCTGTTTCCGAACGAGGACACCGAGGGCTAGCTATCAGCTTGATTTCGCTGCTGGTAAGATGGATGATAGGGGATGGAGCAGTGATGATTGCATGTATGAATGAGTCATCATTCTTAGTAAACCGTCGTTATGTTAGTTAGGAAGGATTTTCAAAAAGAGTCTCAAGTAAATCAATGGACCACCTCATTCGAGCAGTTCAAAATGACATTTAATACCACTCGAATTTCGAAATACAACAAAATTTAGAGAGTTTTTCTTCAAGAATGTAGAATGTCACACCAAAATTGCTTGACCATTAATCATAACATTCAAGCAGTCTAAGATCGACGTTTCCAAAATCTTGGAACGTTGGAATTAAAAATCCATATATCGTGAAATATTTCCTAAGCTCAGGACTGGTAGCAGGTCACTTTTTAGTGGCTAGGTCACTATTTTCAAGAAAGTCAGTTTTTTCACCCAAAATAACTATTTCTAAAAATTTACTCACTAAAGTAACTTTTTACGACCAATGTTGAGAGTAAAGGATTTGAATTTAAAAAATGGCATCAAATCTTGATTTGCTTGATTTGGTAACAAATCTTCTTTCCTTTATTTAACGTCGGTCTTTGTTCCGCAATCTAGTGCCAATCACCGATGGACATCGATCGCCATCCATTGACGGCAATCAAATGTGCAGGAAGGCAGCTTCCACACCTGCATAGGATATCGCACCCATTCAACACACATGGTAGGGGGTGGTACCAACGGCGGACCAGAGATTTTTATGCCTCAGAAAAATCCCACCGACCTCGGCTGAGATTGAACCCAGACCCATTGGGGTGAAAAAGCAGTCACGCTTAGCACTACACCATCGGCGCCGGCATTTGGTAACAAATGTGTGAAAGAATCTTTAAAAATAAGCGTGTAAAGCTTGACAAGAAGAGTTGCAAACAGACGCAAACGTTAACTCCACAATTTTGTCAAGCAGTTTTGGCGTGACTTTCTACCAGCTATTTCACAAAACTGAACCAGCAATTTACTTTTTTTATTCGTAGTTCTAGAAGGAAAAATCTCAATATATAGTTTTTTTTTTCGAAATTCTAGTGGTAATAAACGTCATTTTAACTTCTCGAATGAAGTGGTTAACTGGTGTTCATGGAATCACTAATATTTGGATTTTTTTTAAAACTCCGTTTTCTAAATATTCAAGTCCACTATCTTCCAAATTTGTCCAGATTATAAAATTATTTTTTCCCTTGCCTGTGATCTTGAAATTGTCAGACTTATCACAGATTTTACTTCGCGATCATAAAAAAATTCCAAACCTAAACTGTCGGAAAATGGTCTGGAATAATTTTCAAGCTCTAGACATTTTTTAAAAGACCAGAAATTTAAAAAATATTTGAAACCCGGAGCTTTAGTATTTGACCAACTATTGAGAAAAAAAATCATGTCACAGAATTTTGAGTTCTTTTCTTAGTCCAGTAAGTTGTATTCTATTTTTTCCGGCTTGTAATCAGGATTTAAAAAAATCCAAAGCAAAAACGCAAAACTCCATGCCCAAAATCATATAATGTTTTCCATGCTTCATTTGCATTTAATTTTGTCATGGACTGAACTTGCATTCTATACACAGATAAAAATTATGAATTTTAATAGTGATGTAAACATTCATTCACGTAAACTTGTATTTCATTTCACGCAACCGAGCAAACTTGTAAATAATGTTGTTTACAACAATGGGCTACATTGCATGAAATGTCTCAGAACTTTATGATGTAAACATATATGATATACAGGGTGCGTGATGAATTTTTGCAGTAAATTTCAAATAGTAATTTCTCATGCTTGTGCATCATGATTTAGATATATTTGGCAGCACTGGATAGCTTATACTGTTAGGTGTAAGATTTAAACAAACAATGTTGAGTAAACGTTGACAGCTGTTGTCGCTTTGTTGCGCGCCGGAGTATGCATGAAAGAAATAATTCGGTCGGTAAATGTGTCTGAAAGAACAGTGTATAAAAAAGGCTTGGGAAAGTGATAAGATGGAGCACCTGCTCATACTGCTAATAAAGCACAGAAATGGCTTACGGAAAATATTTCGTAAATTTGGGAGGAAGAAATTTGGCCCCCAAGCAGTCCCGATATCAATCCGTTGGATTATTTTGTATAGGGCGTCGTCCAACGGGATACCAATAGAACCCCTCACACCACACTTAAGTCGCTAAAAGCTAAAATCAAGGCAGTGATGACATCTATGGATCGAAACATTTTAAAACGTGCATACTGCAGTTTCCGGAAGCGTCTAACTACAGTCGTCGAAAGGGAAGGCAATTTTTTTGAATAAATTTACTTACTTACAACTTCCATATGTTGCGAAAGAAAATAAATCGCACAAAATTCATTGCTAGAATAACTAACTGGTGTATTTTTTCTCAAATATGCCATTTACTGCAAAAATTCGTCACGCACCCTGTACTTACCTTACCAATCAGGCTAAGGCCTTGTTGTCCTCTGCTGTCCGAAGAAGTCGTCTCGACTCAACTCGATCCATGGCCACAGTTCGCCAGCCTCGTAGTCTGCGAAGGGTCCGCAGGTCACCTTCTACATGGTCGATTCACCTTGCCCGCTGCGCGCCTCTTCTTCTTGTTCCTGTTGGGTCGCTATCTAGAACCATTTTCACTGGGTCGTCGTGCGGCATTCTTACGACGTGCCCAGCCCACCGTAGTCGCCCAATTTTTGCAATGTGGACGATGGATAGTTCTCCCAGCAGCTGGTGCAATTCGTGGTTCATTCGCCTCCTCCTCCACGTTCCGTCATCCATCTGCACTCCACCGTAGATGGTACGCAACACCTTCCGTTCGAAAACACCAAGGGCGCGTTGGTCCTCCACGAGCATAGTTAAGGTCTCGTGGCCGTAGAGGACCACCGGTTTAATCAGCGTCTTGTAGACAGTCAACTTCGTGCGGCGGCGAATTTTATTCGACCGGAGCGTCCTCCGGAGTCCAAAGTAGGCACGATTTCCTGCCATAATGCGGCTTTGAATTTCTCTGCTGGTATAATTTTCGGCGGTCACCAGTGAACCCAAATACACGAACTCATCGACCACCTCGATTTCGTCACCGTCAATCTGAACTCGGGGTGGGAGGCTAACATTGTCTTCCCTAGAACCTCTTCCTTTCATGTATTTGGTCTTTGATACGTTGATGGCAAGTCCAATCCGTCTAGCTTCAACCTTCAGTCTGATGTACGTTTCCGCCATCATCTTAAAGTTCCGTGCCATAATGTCGATGTCATCGGCGAAGCCAAGGAGCTGGATGGACTTCCTGAATATCGTGCCACTCGTGTCTATCCCAGCTCTTCTGATCACACCTTCTAACGCGATGTTGAACAGCAGACACGAAAGTCCATCACCTTGCCGTAACCCCTTTCGAGATTCAAAGGGACTCGAGAGTGTCCCCAATACTCGAACAACGCACATCACTCGATCCATCGTCGCCTTGACCAATCGCGTCAGTTTGTCCGGAAATCTGTACTCGTGCATAATCTGCCATAGCTGATCTCGATCGATTGTGTCGTAGGGTTTACTACCCCATTTCTGGCCTATTAAGCACAACTCGCACTTTGTCTGTCTTAATCTAGCGCAGCTTAGCACCAAACAGAATGTTATTATTACTGATGGCTTCCAAATTTATTTACCTTTCCGTACGTACCATAAGATTTGATAAAGAGAAACCAATCGTTGAGATATTGTCAAAAGTATAACACTGCTACTTGACGCCAAACTCGGCCCACGGATTCTAAACTCGGCCTAACTCATTGAAACGTCATTGAAACGCCAGTGAATTCACTTCGGCCTATCGGATGAAGATAAAAATTGATTCGGTCGGAGCGCTTCTTTTGTTTTTGGGAATAATGGGTGCAAACTTCATATAACGCGTTCTCATTGACTTCGTTCGGTAGCTTATTAACTAAAGTATCGTACCAAATGCATAATTGACTTGTTAACTCTGAAATCATGGATTTATTTGAAGTTTCTTGCTCGATAGGCCCAAAATGGGCGATTAAAGGGTGATACGGTCAAAATTTGGTCAATATCAACTTGACGTATTTCTTTCAATTTTGCATTTAAAAAACCTGAACACCCCTCATTTTGAAGGTGTGTGTGTGTGTAGAATGTTGCTCCTATTTTGATTTTGGAATTTACTCTTCAGTTGTCAAAATGCCGTCCAAGCAAGAAGAGCAGCGTATCAAAATTTTGCTCGCGCATCGCGAAAATCCGAGCTACTCGCACGCAAAGTTGGCAAAATCGCTAAAAGTTGCCAAATCAACCGTTACAAATGTAATTAAAGTGTTTGGGGAACGTTTGTCGACAGCCAGGAAGTCTGGATCGGGGGGAAATCGAAAACCGGAAGCCGCTGAGACGACAAAGAGAGTTGCCGGTAGTTTCAAGCGAAACCCTAACCTCTCTCTCCGAGATGCCGCAAATAAGCTGGGTGTATCGTCTACAACCGTGCATCGAGCCAAAAAACGAGCCGGAATATCGACTTACAAGAAGGTAGTGACTCCAAATCGCGATGATACGACGGCCAAAGCGCGATCCCGGAGGCTGTACACGACGATGCTGACGAAGTTTGACTGCGTGGTAATGGACGACGAAACCTACGTCAAAGCCGACTACAAGCAGCTTCCGGGACAGGAGTTTTATACGGCAAAAGGAAGGGGAAAGGTAGCAGATGTTTTCAAGCACATGAAACTGTCAAAGTTCGCAAAGAAATATCTGGTTTGGCAAGCCATCTGTACCTGTGGCCGAGGGGGACGACTCTATCTACGATGCAGGAAATATTGTGTTTTGCTGTGGCTAGCTGCGCGTACGCTGAGTAGATAGAAAGAAGATTGATGACGATTCTAAAGATTTCCTGCAAAAAATTGATGCGCGATGCAAGTAGATGCGACAAATGAAAGAAGATTGTTCGAAGATTGATTCGCTAGTGTGAGATTTGTTGACCCTCTAAACTTGAGATTTAGATGTGTCGCCCCCCTCGCCTGTGGCTTGAAAAGCAGCATTTTCATAGCTTCCGGGACTGTCAACCAAGAAATTTACGTGAAAGAGTGTTTGAATAAACGTCTGCTGCCTTTCCTGAAGAAACACGGTTGTTCCGTACTGTTTTGGCCGGATTTGGCATCTTGCCATTACGGTAAAAAGGCCATGGAGTGGTACGCCGCCAACAACGTGCAGGTGGTTCCCAAGGACAAGAACCCTCCCAACACGCCAGAGCTCCGCCCAATTGAGAAATACTGGGCTATTGTCAAGCGGAACCTAAAGAAGACCAAAAAAACTGCTAAGGGCGAGCAGCAGTTCAAGGCAAACTGGCTTTCTGCGGCGAAGAAGGTGGACAAGGTGGCTGTACAAAATCTGATGGCAGGGGTCAAGCGTAAGGCCCGGCAATTCGGATTTGGAAAAGCGGAAGCCTAACTGAATATTTTTCCTGAATTTTATACTAATTGAACTTGAAAAAGAAATTTAATTTGATTTTTTAAATAAACGATTTCACCGATTTACACGCGTTTTCCCTTGACCAAATTTTGACCGTATCACCCTTTATGTTCAATAAGTTGATTTTAAAGCGGGGTGCCACATTGCCCCATTGGCGAAATTGCCCCGCTTTCCCCTAATGACATCATTCAAAAATTACCTGACTTTTATTACTGAACGGAGATTCATACATTTTTATGTAATAGATCATTGGAACTAAATAACAATCCCCGTTTTTTTTTCACTTCCAGCATCGCAAGCGATTGTGACGGCTTCTTCGATTGGACCGGACGAGGTTCCACCGCCATACCAACAGGAGCAACAGAGTAGTGTTATAGTGACCTGCCGCGTCTGCCAGGCATTGATAGACATCTCCTGGAAGAAGGAACAACACGTCGTCAAGTGCTCACAGTGCCACGAAGCAACGGTAAGAATTATGAGGTTTACACCGTAAAACGCCATAATTCTGCGCACTGCCTAATTCCGCGCATTCGGAGCAAAACGAAAGATTTGTGTCAATCAAATGCTAAATTGTCCCACTTCACTCGGACATGGAGCATAAGGCTAGCTAAGGGTTGTTTAGTTCACTAGACTTGAAGCGAAGACAACAAATCAAGAAGACTGGCAACTTTGCCAGAATCCAAGTGACAGATACAGTAGCGCAGCACTTGTATGAAGGTGGAAGCAACGCATAGAAAAATGAGCAAATACACAAACCCTTCTTCTGAGGTTGTAATCTTTGCTATCAAATTCGTTCGAAGCATTTACCTTTGAGCGGCAGATGACGCGATTGTACCTGTCTCATAGCGTTTGTATGAGAAAATGGAAGAGTTGCCAGTCTTCTTGATTTGTTGTCTTCGCTTGAAGTGAACTAAAGAAAAATCATAAGAAATCCCGTTGCGGGGATCCCCAGGACGGGATTTTATTTTCATTTTGATTACTTGGACTGGCTCAACTTCAAGTCATTTATTCAATTCATCTTTGATCTGATTCAGGGATTCACCACTTAGCAGTCCTTTCAAGACAACTTTGAACAGACGTTCAGTTTTGGTGTCATAAATGAAAAAAAAAAAAGTGTTGCTTCTCAGTCAGACGTTTGATAGACGTCAAAGGTTTCAGGCAATACACGGCATTCGCCCCGACGGCCAATTTCAAAAGTTCCGTGCGAAGAGCAAGCAGATCGGAAGTTTTTTTTTGATTAGCGGGATTTTTAGCTCATTGACTAGTTCATCTCGTAGAAATCGAAAGTGGTTATCACAATAGAGGAGACATTTTCCTTCTTAGCATTAAGCCGGGAACGTTTAGATTTTTGTCATGATGATGGATCATTCTCATCATCCGTGAGCATATCAAATTGATTGCTCAAATAAATTTCATCAGAAGGGGGATCAACAGATTACCGGTTTCTTTTGCGTTTAAGCGCCGTGGCGGCAGAAGAAAGTTTTTCCAAATCGATTTCCAGGTAAATTGCAATAAGAATCCGAAGGATCGACAAGGATTTTTCCAAATCGATGTCCAAGCAGGATTACCTCGGGTAGGGTGCAACTCACTCACCCCTCGACTGTAAACAAATAGGGGAAATGGATGTAATGTCGGCCTAAATGCCCCTAATTTGGGCACATACATAAATTCAGCAATCGACTAAATTTTCAATAGCGACCAAAAATATACATTAGTACCGTTCCCAATGACGCGTTCATCTAGATAAAATTGATAAATAGGAGATTTGTGATCACGCCTTCCTTCGGAACGGCTTGGTCCCCGGTTCATGAGTTGATGGGTCGATAGGTAGGGTCCAGGTGTGGGAGCTGCCTTCCTGGCGTCGGTAGCATTGGTGCTCAGCACGGAAAACAAGATCGACGGAAAACAATGAATTAGGCGCAAGCACATATTGAAGATTTTTTTAGCAAGGCTATGTCACAGATATTGGAAGTTTAATGTTTGTCTTATATACAACTTCAGCAACACTGCTTTTTGGTCACTATTAGCTTCAATACTTTTTCATCACATAGTTGAAATTATGTTACTCTTAACTGCGCAGAATTATGGCAGTTTACGGTATCTTTGTTTTCGCAAAAATATTTTTTTCCATTGTGATGAATTTGTTGGACTATTTACGCTTCAATGTATCACATGACTTGCCGCTAGTTGAAGTGTACACACTTTCCTTCATTTGGCTTTCAGTGATTATCAATGTTTACTAAGAGCTGTTCGTAATAAAGTTAGGTACCCCACCTCTGTACACCATCATCAGTGCGAGATATCATTTTTGTGTATATTAACGAATATGAAAGCATGTTCCATGAATCAACCCATAAAAGTGCTCTCGCTGCGATGAGGAACGTCACCTAGCGTACTGAATGAATGAATGCACGCTTACAGCTACCGACAATACAATTTCAATTTCTTTCGCAGCCAATTCGGAATGCTCCGCCTGGCAAAAAGTATGTCCGCTGTCCCTGCAATTGTCTGCTGATCTGCAAGAGCTCTTCCCAGCGGGTGGCCTGCCCGAGGCCCAACTGCAAGCGCATCATCAATCTGGCGCCGAGTCCGGTGACGCCACCGTTGCTATCGATGCCCGGTATGTGCCGCGTTACCTGCGGTCACTGTCACGATACATTCTTGGTGAGTGGTTTCGTTTTTCGTTTTTTTTTGTGTAGAGACGATCAAATTTCGAATCGGGTGTTATGTTTTGCATTTTCAGTTCGACACATTGAAGAACCACCTGGCCCGGTGCCCTCACTGTCGCAAGGTTTCGTCGGTTGGTGCAGATTTTTGCCGCAAACGGCGCAATCTGCTGTTCCTTGGAGGATTGATTTTCTTAGGAATCGGTATAGGCGTTACCTATGGCACTATGTCCTATGCAAAGGTAAGTGGTGGTTGTTTGTTTTCACTGAGTTTCGTGCAACCTATGAACAAAATGAACTTTGTTATAAGGCAGATATAGAACTTATCGTTTCATTTAATCATGTACAATTTTGTTTAACACTGACGTCTATTTTTACACGCGGGGTACGCTGCCCATAAACGCATAACAGTCCCATTCGAACAGGAAATCAAGCAAAAATGTGACTGTTTATTGGCGTAGCTAATGGGGGTGCCTAACCTCCTCCAGAATGATCCAGGCCCCCTCCAGATTTTTTTATTACTCTTCTTCTTCTTCTTCTTCTTGATCGCATTTCAAGCTTATTGCTTAGCGCATATTAGCTTATTGCGTGCTCTCAACTTAGTGTTCTAAATGCACTTCCACAGTTATTAATTGAGAGCTTTCGATGCCAATACCAATGCATGAATTTGTATCCAGTATTTTACGATCGCTTATGGCCGCCACAATCTGGCTGAGTTTCTGGTAGGGAACATAAGATTTGAAGTTTGGCTTGTGTCGTTTGACGTGTAAACGATCAAATTTGAACGTTTACAAGACAAACGACACAACCCAAACGTCGAATCATATGTTCCCTACCAAAAACTCAGCCAGATTTCGGCGACCATAAGCGCTCGTAAAATGCTGGATATTGTGTGGCAAGCACAATGATACTCTATGCCCAGGGAAGTCGAGAAAATTTCCAACCCGAAAGATTCCCTCGACTGGACCGGGAATCGAACCCAACGCCTCCGGCTTGATAATACCGTGCCTTTACTGACTAGGCTATGAGGCCTATTACTCTAATGCCGACAATTTAAATAATATAAATCGTCATTTAATCCTGGAGGGGGCCTACATCATTCTGGAAAGGGTCAGACACTCCTATTAGCTACGCCAATGACTGTTATGCTTTTATGGGCAGTACGTAGCTCGTAAAAAGTCCGTGTCACGCATAAACTCATTTTTGAAATATACCTTAACGGAAGAAGTCGGCACACCACGTGCTGGCAAATGTAGGGTTGACTTCTTCTGTATGGATAGCTTTATTCGAGCACTTGTAGCAAATCTCCAGCTATTTTTAAGAAATGTATACCTTCATCGTAATTTCATCGAAAGGATCCCCCGATGATGTTTATTTAGCGCGATATTCTAGAAGAAAAATCTTGAAACATTATTTCAGCTCAAGGTTCCATTGAAAGTGTGCCATTCCAACTGCTTGAATTTTTCAACCCATTAACCCCTAACTAATGGATCACTTTGTTAAGCAGTTTTGGTATGATTTTCTAGCAGTGACTTAAGAAAACTGGAGCAACAACTTTTTTTTTATGAAAGTCACATTTTGGCTACTTACTTTTTTGCTGTTTCTAGAAGAAAAAAAAACGATGTTCGATTGGTAGTAAACAATATTTTGAACTGCTCGAATGAAGTGGTTCATACCGAATTTGTTTTCAATTGACCACTTTGTCAAGCAGTTTTAGCGTGACTTTCTACCAGCAATTTCACAAAACTGGACCAACTAATTTCTATTTTTGTATGAAACTCACAAATCTAGATAGAGCTGGATTTAGGGCGTAACAGCTTTTGTAAACAATTGCTTCTCTCGATGATTTCTCGAAAGGCATGACTCTCCCTGGTAAATCAACATTACCATCGAATAGGGGAATACTTCCCCTACCCGATGGATATGTTGGTTTGTGTAGGCGTGCATTAAGTTGCTAGAAATCAACGAGAGAAGTCATTGTTTACAAAATCTGTTACGCCCTAATTCCAGCTCTATCTAGAAATGTTGGCTACTTTGCTCGTGGTTCTAGTAGAAAACATCTCAAAATAATGTTTTATTTCAAAGTTCAAGTGGTAGTAAACGTCATTTTAACTGCTCGAATGAAGTGGTTAATTCCGTTCCAACATGGATGGTATCATGGTATGGTTAGCTTGTTTTCAGGCAATCGTCAGTTTGATCGTTTGCTTTTATAACCGGGTTCGAGGTTTGCACTGACACGTGGTACTTTCTTGTAAATATGATTGTTTTTGCTCTATACCCTAGCATTATCGACAGTTTATTAATTCATTCAGAAATGTAAGGGGCTCCATCCTACTCCTTATGATTAAAGTGGCTGAAATAGGAACAATCGATCATCTGTCAAAGTTAGGAAAAGTTATTCCAATCGAGCAGAAGACCTGTCATATGGATGTGTCTCTTTACCCATTTCAGTTTCTTTATTTATGATATTACCAAGTCCTTTGACAGTGTGAAAGTCTAATCGAACCTCCCAACATTGCAGGATCACAGTGGAATGTTCATTGCCTACATCAGCCTGTTCCTGGTCGCTCTTCTTCTGTTCGCCAAGACGATATACTACTGCACGCTGAAAGTGAGTAACGTGGAAGGGCCAATCTAAAGTGTTTCGAGAACGTTGGGCCAGTTTGCTGTATTCTCTGCCTGTGTCATCGTCTATATCCAAAGTTTTTTTTTGTTCGCAAGCAAACCAAACAGTAACAGTTGCAGCAGCGGTAATCTAAGGATCAAATGTAAATTATCCATGCCCACACACATACTCACAAACAACCAACAGTTTATACACATTCCTATAAGATAACAGCAGTCGTAACCGGACGTGTATTGGAAGCTAGTACACAGAATTTGTTGTTCGTTGCTATTGAAAACAGAAAAGTGATGGGTTTGGTTCGAAACAAAAATGCAGGTACATTTTGTGTTTTATTTCTTCGAATAAACCACAGATCTGATTGATGGTTGCAGTAGAAGCCATATTCAACGTAACTGCGGAACACCTCGAACAAAGATAAAGGAAAAGATCTACTCTGTGCTCCAAACGGTAGTAGATGGTGATGAGTAAGCTTAAGACAAACAAACAAGAAACATCATCGATACATGTAAAGATTATGATTTACTGATTATTATTCATATTTTTACATTTTTACACATTGTAATCACCTAATCGGAATTTATATGCTGTATAAATTAATCGGATAAGTGCAGGAATGTGATGTTTCTTTTTCTTGTGTTAAAGAGTTATATTTAATTAAATCGTGGAATAAACTATACAAACTGTATGTGAAAATAAAATGCACGTGATAGCAGAAAGAGTGAAGAAGCAGATGATGGTAGAACAGCTTGCAACGTTGTTAACCAAAAATAAAGAAGAAATAGGAAACCGGTAAAGCTGTCGGGGTAAATCGTAAGCACCAGACGAGGAATAACACATTTATAAAACACTTTATATAAATAATATTATCATTAAACTCCATACTTGGTCAACATTTGGATAGTTAATCTGCAATAAAAATGGGAAACGCTTTAATCCCAATTGCCAAATTGGGCATGTTGAGATTGAACCATTGAAATATAGTTGTAAATCTTAACAATCCATTATAGAATGAAGCTAAGCAAATAGTTGTTCTGTAAGGATAAATTCGAAACTATCAAATCACCTACAAATCTACTCAATTTACTGGACCTTTCACAAGCTACTTTCAATTCCTAAGCGATTCTAAGAAAAAAATCTACCTTTTGCAGGATGCTTCTCACGAATATGAACGACGAATACCAATTATCCGCTTGCCTTTGATGCAGTATGGTTTTGTTAGAATAAGCGATAGTTAGCCACAAATTATAGCGTCCCATTCTCTAGTGTAACCCATGCTTATGATTTATATTTTGAGTTTATCTCGTAATCTTCTTTGCACCAACCATCCCCCCCCCCTTCCCCCTCCCGTAATGATATTACAAATAAGCATAAGGGAAGAATAATGTGCTAGAATCGCAGAATCAAACAAAGCTCCAAACTGAAAGAAAATAAATTCTTTCAGCCTCGTATTGTGGTTTTATGATTAATTACTATAACCATAAACGATACACCCAACCCTTTTTTACGCGGGAAGTTTATGTTCTTCCAATTTTCATTATCTGTGGTAGAAAATTTCTGTAGGTACCATATTTTTCCTTGATTTTTGGCTTGGTCTTGCTTGGTTTTAATTGAACATCGAAAAAGAAAAAGGAAAACAAGCCCGCGTAAAAAATAGTTTGGGTGTATACAAAAACTACATTAAATAACACAACAAGCGAAAAAAAAAATAAAGGAAAGATTAGGCAAATTGTAGCGTGTTTAAGTGTCGTTTTTTTTGTCGAAATTGAAGGGAAAGAAAGTTAGATCGGTACAATAGTTGTCCATCGCTACAACAGCCTTCAACTGTGTGCAGTAATTTCTGTTGTTCAGTACATAAACCGTGCCTTCCGCTAAGTCGGCGTGTATAGGGACCAACCTCCTATTCCAGCGCTGCTCAACGTGCGGCGCGCGGGTCGGACGTGGTATCTGGATTTCAGTAATGATTTCATTCTAGTCCAATTTTATTCATCATTACGAATTTTAGCTCAGAATGAATAAGCATTAAGCAAAATGCAGCTAGAAAAATGTTCTTCGAACATAGATACAGCCATTTAAAAAAGCAAGTTTAGAACGGTTGGGCAGGCCTGTCCTAGTCTATACACCTACTGTCCTTCCCGGTGCACTTGTCAATACTCGCTCGTGCAATACTCATCCAGGTTCGGGTACATTAATGCCACGGATACACTTGTATGACAAATTATGAGCATGTGTTTTATTATACAAACAAGGCTCATGCTCATAACTTGTTATACAAGTGTATCCGCGGCATAACTTATCTATATGTTCAAAGTGTTTTTATGTTACTTCATACGCGAAGTTAACGATTTTCAGAGTTGGTTGGAAATGCTAACATGAAGCTTTAGTGTGATGATTTAAAGGGTGATACGGTCAAAATTTGGTCAATATCAACTTGACGTATTTCTTTCAATTTTGCATTTAAAAAACCTGAACACCCCTCATTTTGAAGGTGTGTGTGTGTAGAATGTTGCTCCTATTTTGATTTTGGAATTCACTCTTCAGTTGTCAAAATGCCGTCCAAGCAAGAAGAGCAGCGTATCAAAATTTTGCTCGCGCATCGCTAAAATCCGAGCTACTCGCACGCAAAGTTGGCAAAATCGCTAAAAGTTGCCAAATCTACCGTTACAAATGTAATTAAAGTGTTTGGGGAACGTTTGTCGACAGCCAGGAAGTCTGGATCGGGGGGAAATCGAAAACCGGAAGCCGCTGAGACGACAAAGAGAGTTGCCGGTAGTTTCAAGCGAAACCCTAACCTCTCTCTCCGAGATGCCGCAAATAAGCTGGGTGTATCGTCTACAACCGTGCATCGAGCCAAAAAACGAGCCGGACTATCGACTTACAAGAAGGTAGTGACTCCAAATCGCGATGATAAACAAAATACGACGGCCAAAGCGCGATCCCGGAGGCTGTACACGACGATGCTGACGAAGTTTGACTGCGTGGTAATGGACGACGAAACCTACGTCAAAGCCGACTACAAGCAGCTTCCGGGACAGGAGTTTTATACGGCAAAAGGAAGGGGAAAGGTAGCAGATGTTTTCAAGCACATGAAACTGTCAAAGTTCGCAAAGAAATATCTGGTTTGGCAAGCCATCTGTACCTGTGGCTTGAAAAGCAGCATTTTCATAGCTTCCGGGACTGTCAACCAAGAAATTTACGTGAAAGAGTGTTTGAATAAACGTCTGCTGCCTTTCCTGAAGAAACACGGTTGTTCCGTACTGTTTTGGCCGGATTTGGCATCTTGCCATTACGGTAAAAAGGCCATGGAGTGGTACGCCGCCAACAACGTGCAGGTGGTTCCCAGGACAAGAACCCTCCCAACACGCCAGAGCTCCGCCCAATTGAGAAATACTGGGCTATTGTCAAGCGGAACCTAAAGAAGACCAAAAAAACTGCTAAGGGCGAGCAGCAGTTCAAGGCAAACTGGCTTTCTGCGGCGAAGAAGGTGGACAAGGTGGCTGTACAAAATCTGATGGCAGGGGTCAAGCGTAAGGCCCGGCAATTCTGATTTGGAAAAGCGGAAGCCTAACTGAATATTTTTCCTGAATTTTATACTAATTGAACTGGAAAAAGAAATTTAATTTGATTTTTTAAATAAACGATTTGACCGATTTACACGCGTTTTCCCTTGACCAAATTTTGACCGTATCACCCTTTATTAGCTAGAGAATGGTCTTTAGAAGAGGGTAGGTGGATAGTTCCGTTAGAGTACGGCAGTATGAAAATTGAATAGAAGTTGAAAATGAGCGAAGGGCCATTAAAGCGACAGTTTTCAAGATAGACGCACATTTTTGCCTAACCCGTACGATGTACGCGGGGACTTGAAGTATGTCTCCAAGTCCACAGGCAAAAATGTGCGTTCCTCTTGTTGCTCATAAACTGACTGCGGCTGTGGAATAGTTCTAGCGACGTTTTCATCACTACCTAAAGCCCCACGTATCTATATGGTTTAAGTACTACTACTACTATGCAGTTTATTTGAAGTAGAAAGCACACTATTAAGTAGGAAATTTATGGCAAGCACAGACAAAACCAGAAAAAAATACAGTAATTTTTGAGCTTTTATCATATAGGGCCTGCATCAATGGATGTAATATCGGCCTAAATGCCTCTAATTTATTTATTTATTTATTTATTTTTCGTCAACTGATGTAGACTAGTACAAATACATATACAAATTTGTTTTTCTTAATATATAAAAAAATATATTGTCTGCTATTCTATTTTTACTTCTTACGAGTTATGATTCCGTATGGAGTTAAAATATTGTTTTAGTTTATGGCGAGACATTGAACAGTCAATGGTTTCGCAGTGTTGATTGTAAGTGATTGTAAATCATGCGATTTAATTGCCCAAATTTTGCATAATTTGTGCGATGATGGGTTAAATAAATTTCTATTTCTGAGTTATCGAGTAGGTGCATAAAAATTTAATTTTGATAAAAGTTCTGCTGAGTCAATGCGCTGCGAAACGATATCGTTTACAAACGTAACCATTGCATATCTACGTCGCTCTTTTAATGTTTGTATGTTTATAAGCATGCAGCGTGCTTCATATGATGAAAGAGGAAATGATGTCCAACCTAATTTACGAAAGGGTATATAATAGAAATTGAAAATGGAGACCATACAATGATGCAATACTCCAGTATTGACCTCACATAGGCAATTTATAGTGTTTTAATCGTGTATGGTTCCTAAACGTTATAGCAAAAGCGTTTGATAAAGCCTAGGATGTTATTTGCCCAGTGAATTATTGTATTGTAATGGTCTATGAAAGTTAGTTTGGAGTCTAAGATAATCCCTAACTTTTTCACATTTTTCTACATTCTGATTTTCTAATGCAATTGAAATGTTTGATGGTGTTCTTTTTCTGCTAAATGATATTAAGTTGCATTTTTTTACCATTTTTTTAAAGTTTGTGATTTTTTTTAAGTATGCCATTGGATTACCTATAGCTTGAAATGGATAATGTGATTGGAATCAGGTTGTATCGTTGTCGAGAAATCGTTAAAAACGAAATGAAGGAAATGTTGTTTACATACAGAGTAAAAAGAAGAGGTCCCAAATGAGAGCCTTGGGGGACTCCTGAGGTGACTTGAATTGGAGTCGATTTCTTTCCATTGAATTTAATTATTTGTTGGCGGTTAGAGTAAACGCTCCTATAGTTGCGGACGTTGCGGTACGTAAGAAGCGTTAGGTTCCTATAGTTGTGTGTTGAGTCTGCACTCTGCATGCACAACTATACGACTAAAGGGTGTCCACGATGAAATTGCCACACTATGAAATTGCTCTAACTTTTTAATCGTTGGGTAGAATTTAATGAAAATTTGGGTGGATTTAGTTCATAGTGCATTATTTACATCCTGCAAGTTTTAAAGTCCTGTGATCAAAACTCGCGGAAATGGAGTCGAAAGAACAGCTCGTGCGTGATAAAATCTTGCGCATTCATCACGAGAACAAGGATCTCTCGCATCGTTCCATCGCTAAAACGTTGGGAATCGCGAATTCCACGGTGTCGCGAGTGATTAAGCGGTTCGAGGAACGGTTGACCACCGATCGGAAGCCCAGAAGTGAAGGAAAAAGTATTCCGTACAACACCAAAAATCACAACCGCGTAGTTGGGGCCTTCAACCGAAATCCGAACGCCTCCGTTAGGGATGTGGCTAAGAAGCTGCACCTAAGCCGAAGTTTTGTCCAGAAGGCCAAAACTAAGGCTGGGCTTCGAACGTTCAAGGTACAAAAGGCCCCTGATCGCGACGAGAAGCAGAACAAGTCCGCCAAAACCCGTGCCAGGAAGTTGTACCTCAACATGCTGACGAAAGTTGAATGCTGCATCATGGACGACGAAACATATGTGAAGGCCGACTTCAAACAGATCCCAGGCAACCTGTTTTTCACGGCCAAGGATAAGTTCAGCGTTCCGGAGCATGTCCGCACTCAGAAGATGTCCAAATTTGCGAAGAAATTCCTGGTTTGGCAAGCCATCTGCACGTGCGGGAAGCGGAGTGCACCTTTCGTGACCCAGGACACGATGAACGGACAGGTGTACATAAAAGAGTGCCTCCAGAAGCGGCTGCTTCCTCTCCTGAAGGCCCACAACGTCCCAACAATCTTCTGGCCGGATTTGGCCTCATGCCACTACTCCAAGGACGTGCTGAAGTGGTATGCGGACAATAAGGTCAATTTCGTGCCGAAAATGTTCAACCCTCCCAACACTCCGGAGCTCCGCCCCATCGAGAAGTACTGGGCGATTATGAAGCAGCACCTTCTTAAACGACCTAAGGTAGTGAAGACAGTCGAGGAACTGAAGAAAGTATGGGTTTACATGCAAAAAACGGTTGATTCACAGGCCAAGGTGCGGGCATTTGCGTATGGACTGTAAATAAAATACGAGTAAAATGGTAAAATGAAGTTTAATAGTTATTTCTCAATCCCTGAAAATTTGATGGCAATCGGA